GCCAAGGCACAGAGGGCACCCAACCTCTTGGTCTTTCAGAAGCCACCAGCCATCTTACTGTTCCACGGGGCTCTTGGACACGAAAGGCAAAATGGCTGCCTCTGTTAGAGAAGATTCATGTAATGTTGGTGTCTGTTACTGTTTCTTTTGGCTGTTCTCAGAAGTGGATGGCCTTTAAATATTTATATAAATAAATATTCATAGACTCAGGAACCCAGGAATTTATCAAAAGCAGCAGAACGCGGCTATTCAGAAACTCTGTTTCTGTTTTTTTCCAAAGAGTTATTTTCCGGCAATCTAATCCAGGGAGAATACTTGGGGTGGGGTGGGGGGAGAAAAGAGAGAGCTTTTCAATTGGTTCTATTGTTAGACAACCATGAGTCATAAACCTTTGTACTGGTGCAAGACACCCTGATCTATCACTTCTGAACTCCTGCCCATTGCTCACCTAGAAATGCCTGCAAAACATTGTTAAAAATAATGCTCTATATAAACCGTTCAAACACTATAATAAAACCAGCCTAAGATTTAAGAATTAGCTTCATTGCTACATAGAATTCTGATTCTACTTGATGTTCTTTTACATGTAAAATATTGCCAATATATTGAGCCTTAGCCACTGTAACCTCCCCAGAATAGTTGATTTATATTGTTCAAAAACTGTTGAACACAATTTGGAAAATTGCAAAATACAGTAAAATACAGTTGCAACAAGCTGTTTTATTTCAGATATTTGAGTGATACGGTTGGCTGATAATGTAGAAAATTAACTCAACATTTAACATAATGTTTTAACATAGTTCAAATGGTGAATGAAGCTGTACACGATGTCTTTTGAAAACATAAATCTGTTCTTTTTCTAATGTTTAAGTCCTTCTTTCCTCTTTTGCTTCTCTCAACCTTGCTGTAGTTCACACCCCCAAAAATATTCTACAATGTATAATGGTTCTGCAGCGTATTTCACAGCAGACCAACTAAAATAGAAAGAGCTTCCTTAAGAATGGAGCGTGGAAGAGATGTGGAAGCTCACGAGAGGGAGATCCAACCTAGAAATAAGGGGAAATTTCATGACAGTGAGAATTATTAAGCAGTGGAACAGCTCACCTCCTGGAATTGTGTGTGCTCCATCAGTGGAGGTTTTCAAGACAAGATTGGACAATCATTTGTCCAAGTGGCATGAGGACTCCTGCCTTGGGTGGAGGGTTGGACTAGAAGACCTCCAAGGTCCCTTCCACCCCTGTAATTTTATGAATGGAATTTGTGAAATATAGCTTTAAAACCCTGGAGAGGGAGTATTATATATCATAGGGAACGACTGAACGTAAATCTAAGCAATAAAGAATTAACATTATTATTAAAGCGTAAAATCCTAAATGTTCAAGAAAGGAAATCTTTTGGTCTTTTTTCTAGTTGCTAGTTTAATGACCAATTTGGAATGCAAAACTCCAGCCCATATTTAAAATAGGTTTTGCCCTTGGAAGATGGAAATGTTGTTATTTGCTCAACCCAGGTGTGAGAGCATCTGTGTGCAAGCGCACTTTATTCTTGGATGCTTCTAATGGAAAAGAACGGAACAAATAAACATGTGACACGTTAAGAGATGATAAAAATACCCAGGATTTCATCCATGCAGAAAGATAGCAATAGTAGCTCTGGCTTCAGCTTTCCACCATAAGAAAAAAACAGAAATGTAGGCTCTTTTAAATTCAGGTCTTCCTGATAGGAAAAAAATATGAATCTTTAAAAAACTGCCTGGCAGACTCTAGGCTGACAAAATATGAAGAAATAAACACCAACATTATTATTCTAACACTAGAATCCAGATTCTGGGAGGAAAGATGGCTTCTAAAAGGGATGGGGAGAGCAATTAAGACAGAAAGTCTTCCTCTTGTGGCCAGAATCAAACCCAGACTCAGAGTGGAGCTGCTGAGGATATATAATCTTGGACCATCCTGTTCTAATTAAGTTGTTTCTACCAACCTAACAGAAATCAATGGAATATGCCTGTATCATGCAATTAAGGGCATCTCCAGACGTGCCCAAGTTACCCCAGCTCTGTCAGAACTGCACTAGTGATCAATTAGATTTTAGGTGCAATTCAAGATGCTGGTTTTCACCTTTAAAGCTATATCACGGATTGCATGTTTAGAGAACTATTTTCTTCCAGCTGTTTGCTCATCCAACAAGATCTAGTAGGGAGACCCCATCCTTGAGGAGCCATGGGTCTTTTCCTGCAAGTGTCCCCCTCATTTGGAACATTGCTCTACCTGGGGTACCTCAGCACCAACCCTATTTGCTGTTCAGGAAAGTCATTATCACCTGTTCTAGAGAGCCTTTGAAAATATATGATAAGGTGTGCCTCTTCCTTGCAGCAGGCAATTGTTACGGCTATGACTGTTTTGCCTTGGTGCCTTAATAGCAAGCAAGATTGACAGTTATTAGATCCATGTTTTCCTTGTGATGTTTTCTATGTAATTTTGTATAATTTCTAAGCCACTTAGAGCCTTCTTGGAACTGATCAGCATATAAACTGCAGTAATAAATTAATAAATACGTCTTTTCCTCCCTTTGCATTTAATGGATTTTTACTCCTCTTTAAAGGAAGCTCTCAGAAGGCAAATGTTTTAAATGTTTTAAAAACAAAACTAACTTGTTCAATACAAGCAAAATCAAACATACGCACATATACACACATATAACAACAGGATCAACAGTAAGATCAACAATGCGTTTTGGGAAAAGTATTTAAGAAATACCTACAAAAACAGGACAAGCAGAATATCACAAATGCGAAGCCATCGCAAAGAGTTGCTGTCCATGGTACTAATGTTTCTGATCAGAGTTTTTTGGTGGGCTAATAGGAACTGATTTGAGATCTATGTTAGGGCCTGAACAGACCAGGAGTAATTTTATAGTTTACACCCAGCTCTTGGCTGCAAAAAATTTGCTTTGGACAGAGCCTCCGCTCACTTTTCCAAACAGTTGCTCTGCAGAGCAGTCAAAAATGGGTTGCTGGTTTACTGTTGGTAAGGGCTGAAAAATCAGCAATTTGCAGTAAGCGGTTTGGCAGATGCCTCAGTAATGATTGTTATGAGTAACGAACTAGCCATTGTGTTTTAACCTACCCATCTAACCATCACTTACAGTTCAGTGCATAGTTACAGATAGGTTAACGGTGGTTAGATTAACTACAGGCAAGCATGAAAAGAGAGAAAGAGAACCATCCTTTCCTTCCAGCATCTCTCTGCAAAAACCACTGCATACCTCATTGTTCACCCAGCAGGCAACCAGTGATCTTAAACAGATTTGCCTGGTGGGAGGCTTCTCTTCCTTTTCTCAGTGACCCTAATTAAAATCCCCAATTTTTCGCAGCAGGAATGCAGCTAATTGCAATTAGGTTGCAGGAGAATTAGAAGCCTCATTGCTCCCTTTTCTCTTCCAGTTGCGATGGGGGGGGGGAAGAGAGAGGATTGATGGGCATCAGTGGCGCAAGCGGATTCCCAAATGCTGTTGCAGGCAGCAGCTCAGCTGCAATTCAAGAACTTGACCCACTGCATGCTCAGAGGGTTAGCCATCCTCCTTCCGAGCTGCATTTCCTTCACCTTGGCAACCAGCCCCACTGCATTCTCGGGCGCCCGCAACCCACCGTCCAAACCAGCACCACAGACGTCCAGCGGGGATTTAACCGCTGTCCAAACTGGTGCAACAGAGGCAGCCAAAGGCTGGACCGCTGCCCTTAAGAGCAACTCTACCCAAGCAGCAGCGGAGGACCTTTTGAAACTGCCCCCCCCCGAAACACAAGTGCACCCTCTCCCCGCCTCTCCGAGACGCCATCCGGCCTTTGACAGGACGGCACGAATCCCCAGCGAAACTCTTTCGATAAAATGCACCAGGCGGAAATTTCAGATTCTTTTTTTTTTTTTTTTCCCACGTCGTAGCCCCTGGTTCCCACGCTGCAAAAGGGACCTGGGCAGAATTTGGAGGGAGACTCGGCGGCACAGGACTTGCTGTCCCCCGAGGGCGGGCCCGACCGCGGAGGGGCCCCTGGGGGGTCCCTGGGGGTTGCGGATGGAGGGGGATTGCAGAGGGGCCTCCCCAGCCCCAGCACGCCTTCTCCAACTGCGACACCAGGCGGGAGAGGCCAGGTTCCCCCCCCTCCCCGAAATGCGGCGCGCTCTAGACGGAAGGGCGCCCTATGGGAGGCTCAGCCCCCCCCCTCAGCCCAATAAGGGGGGGGCGGGTGGCCTGGGATCTCTCCCCCCCCCCCGCCGCCTTCGACGCCTCTGGGCTTCTTTCCTGCTCCACTTTGCCTTCCGAACGGCCGCTCGCCTCCCTTCATTACCTCCCAGCCGACAGCGCGCTGCTTCTCCTCCGGCTCTCCCGGATGGCATCTGCCAGGAGCGAGCGCGCGCGCCGAAGGACCGTCTGCCGCTCTCTCCAACGCAACGCCTGTCGGCTTTCCCTCTCCACCCTCTCCCCCCCTCCTCTTGGCTCTCTCTCTCTCTCTCTCTCTCTTTAGCCAATTCCTCGACGACTTGCTAATCTGGCTCCCAATCACCGGCCGCCTTGATGCGACCTCTTCGCGAAGCCGCGGCCGCCATGCCACCTAAGGGCAACGGCCAGCGTTTTTTCTCTCTCTCTCTCTCTTTCTCCTCTTTCCTCCCCCCCCCTTTCCTCTCCCCTGGTCTTTCCGCTTTCCCTTTTGAGGAAACGGAGGGCGGGGAGGAAGGCGCTCGGGCAACCATAGCAACGGCGAGAGGATTTTTTTTTTTCTCTCCCCCACCCTCCTCTCGTTCCGACGGTCGGGAGCGCCCATTGGTGGAGAGGCCGGCCGAGGCGTACGTCTTTTTTTTTTTTTTTTTCCCTTTGCGTTTCCGGCCGAAGGGAAAGAAGTGGAGGGGGGCGGAGCGGGGCAGAGAGTGAGGCGTTGGGGTTGCTCTGCCTCAGAAACGGAAGGATTGGGGGGGGGGGGCTGTTTAAAAAATAAATAAATAACTTGGGGGGGGGGCGGCTGAGCAAGCTTCTGGGGAGCCTGCGGCCTACCTGCCGGCCCTGGCGGCGGTAAAGCCGCGGCTGTGAGGAGGGCATGGGCAGGGGGACCCTTCCTTCCAGTAGTTTACCTCAGCGGCCAACCCAGCCGCTCGCGCCCCGCTTTTTCACCTGTCGGCCAAGAACACCCGTCCCTTCACCGCGGCCCGCCATGCTCCCCTGGTAAGTAGCGCCTGATGGGTCGCGCTTCCTCAGCGCCTTCCCTACGCTTGGCTCCCTTCAGCCGCCGCTCCCGGGGCCTCCCTGGCTGGGAGCGCTGGGGGGTGAGAGTCCCCTGAGCGGTGGAGGTTAGGGAGAGGGCCCAAGTCCACGTGTCCCCCACCCCACCCTGGGAAATCTCTGGCCGACTTCGGTCCCTGGAACCGGCCTACCTCGCCGGGCTGTCGTGGGATCGGATCAGGGCAGGCGGAAGCGCGTGTCCTGGGAGGCCAGTCCGCTCGTGGGAACAGCTTCTTCCCCAAAGCAAGAGCGGCCCCCCACTCTTTTGCCTCTCCCCCCCTCCGGGAAGAGGTCAAATCTGTCTTTTCGTGAGGGTCCTTGGTGATTATGTCTGTCATTTATGTCTGTCATTTGATCTGCCAAACAGAAACAATATCTACTGAATAGATACAGCACAGACGTTGACTGACTAAACAATCTATAAAATCTATATAACAATGCAGGCGAAATGTTAAGTTTAAGAATTGGGGGTGTACAAATAAATAGACTAAAGGTATCACACCATGTGTAGATTGCGAGGCTTTATTCAGGTTATGTTGCTTAATGCCTGTTGGTGAATACAATTTACAGTTTTTTATTATTCGGTTGCTTTCCATACTCTAGCCTGATTTTTTGCACCACTTTAATACTTTGGTGGAGTGAGGCGGTTTATAACTCTGATAAATAAATAAACCCACCTTGAGTTCACAAACAAAGGAGATATGCAAGTTATGAGGTTGCCCGTCGACCTGCAATGTCTGAACGGAAAAGGTTTATATATAATCAAGGGTGGCAGAGACAGATATGCCTGGCCATAGCTTCCAGCAGCACAGCAAAGCATTACTGCACATTATGGAAACTTGGAGGCCCAGGAATTGGTTCATCAGCTCTCCAAGGTTTGCAGGGCCCCTGTGTCTCCGGTATTCCTTTTGCAAAAGATGCTGAAAGTTGAATCTGGGTCTTGGTTAAACAGGATAGTTGCCACTGAAGAGGGAATAGTTCTTAGAGAACTAATAAAATGCTTGCGTGCTACTTCAGATATTTAACAAATGTATTATGGAGAATACAGCTCCTACAACCTATTAATTTTATTGTACAAAACTGAACTAGTGCAGAACACTGATGTCTACATCACGTGTTATGTTTGTCTTTTAGTGAAGTGAAAATGCGGGAAATTTAATTTGGTACCCTTTTTGTACAAGTGGGAGGAATTGAACCCGGACTTGTTGGCATAACAATTAGGAAAAACAGGTACAGCCTTGTTTTAAGGAGCCCATATAGGAATTATGTTGGATGTAGATTGCTTTTAGGCCTTTGCTATTGTTAATTTGTATTGGTTTTTGTATGTTCTTTTTGTGGTTTGATAGTATTGTAGCTTTTTTCATTGTAAGCCACCCAGAGTCATGCAGTTGAGATGGGTGGCTATATAACTCGAATGAATACTAAAATTAACAGTCAAATGGGAACTTATTCCTAGCAAATATAATTTGTTCTTTAATACGTATGCAACCTTTCCTCCTGAAGCTCCAGGCAGTGTATCCATCTTGAGTGGATTAATATAATTCATGTAGTTATTGGCTGAATACCAGTAGGAAGACAGAAACGCTCTGTGTCCTCAGAAATGCTAGGGTACACTCTGACTGGTAGCTGAGACCTTATTTGTATGGATTAAAATGATCAGATTAAATATAAATTCTGAGCCTGCTTTTTCTTTTAGCTAAATAACTCTTATACTGTGTATTGTTATTTTGATAGGTAGGTACCTACCTGTCAAGAAGACTATGTCTCTGTAGATTGTTGATTTTGCTTTGCTTTTGTCCAAGCAATCTGTCTGGGGTGCATAGTACTATTTTGACTGGAAACATTCATCCACTCTTGCTGCAATAGAGTTTTACAATGGGGTTATATTTTGATTTTCTGTAAGAGTTACTTTTCTGGACTTTCCATTTATCCTATCAGAGCTTGCCCAAATAGTTGCTTACAGAGACCCAAATAGTAGATTCTGTGACAGACAGGACCAGCTCTGATTTAGAAATAAGATTTTTTAAAATTTTGATTTAATTTCTTTGAGAAGAAGGGAACTCCTTGGATTTAAGTTAGCCTTTTATTTTAAATTCTGAGAAAAATTACTTTGAGTATCAGAAATTTCAAAAGCAGCACCCCTCAAATGTCAACTGTTTAAGACAGAGGCACCCTTCAAATAAGGATATTTTGCTGGATACAAATATATATTTTTGGGGGTTAAATATTTCAAAGCTGTTAAAAGCTTCCCTAAAAGAGTTGAGTAAAGTTGGAAGGGGATTTTTTTGTAACTGAACAGTAAATCATATTTGCTGTATTAAGAGCTTTACAGTTGTGAAATAGAGTGTTCTGCTAAAACAGTAATGAACCTAAATTGAGTCAATGGTATATTGATGAATAATGAATATGTATCCATTTGCATAGACACTGAGGGAAGCTTTTAAACTGTGCATAACAAGGAGTCCTTTTCATTTATTAAAAATCTAACATGTTGATACACAGACATATGCATATGCATATACTATATATGAAAGTATATCTTTACATTGTGACTTTATTGCTATTGTTGCATATGCAACTTTAAGACCCCAAATGATGTATTGAATATGTAAATACATTTAGCAGCATGTTGGTTTCTTATTTTTAAAAAGTCTTAGTGATTCTCTCCTCACTTTAGTTCTAGTAGCAACTTCTTTTTGCTTTTACCAGCAACAATAGCGTGGGGTGAAGTGACTAAGAAAAAAAACAATAGCATGACAGAGAGATCCCAAATGCTATTATTTTAATAAAAAATGGTGTTAAGTTATTAATACATTCAATGTACTGAGTAATTTAGAATGTGACCCATACTTCAAAACATCCAGCAGCAAAAAAAACACCTCCAAGAGTCCTTTTACAGTTTGACCTCCTATGTGTATCTTTAAACCATGCTATGACTTTTTAATTACAATAAGCTGATTTTTTTATAACAGCCAGCTGTCTCATTAATAACAAAAAGATTTAAAAAATAGCTGGAGTTAAAATTTGCAGGCCTCTAGATATGATTAGAACTAATATCTAAGTTTGGCCTTTTTATGCAACCTGAGTATATGAACTATTATACCAGAGGAATATCTGGTTTTGCAACAAGGCAATTCATTGTGCCACGTAAATAGACTTCCACGTTTACAGAAGGCAGAACTGAACTTTGATCTCTTCTTATGTTCTCAAGGTGTTTTAATGAAGGCAGGCATAGTAGCAGTAACCTAATTCTGTTAGTCATCCTAGAGCAAAACATAAAATTGGATGCAAGGCATAGATGAATTCAGCAGTGTTATGATATAGGTAGACTAGACAGCTAGCTGTCATAATTTAATGACTACCTGCCATAAATGGGAGTTCAGGCTGTCAGATGTCTTCCAGCATTGTTGACTCCTAATGCAAGCTGAAAATGTACCCTAGAATCCTCTGCAGTATTTCAAGAGATTTTCAAGTGAACTTTCTGTTCTTATGCAGCTACTGAAGCTTTGCACTGATGCTGGCATGGCTGATCCCTTACATAATCCAATAATGTGGTGAACAGGCTATCCAAATCATCAGGAACAAATTTTTAAGTTCTTTTTCTAGGATAAAACCAATCTAACCCAGTGCTTATTGTCATGTGCATATGTTGTTCTATATAGGAAGGAAAAGGGAATTTTATGATATTGCAGTGTATAAATTGATTTAACAATATCCAGAGTTAAATTGCTAGTAGATTCTGGAATCAGCAAAATGTGCTACTGAGGCATTTCAAATACAGTAATGAAATTCCCTAAGATTGTAGCTGATCTTCTATTATAATTTTGCACTGTTTTTTCCTCCACTGTTCGTTTTCCATGATGAGCTGCAATAACCAGATTATAAAATTTGCTTTGTTTTGGGAAAGAGCCAAAGGTTCAAGTTACATCAGATTTTGGTTCCAGGAACTAAATACAACAGTTTTGCTAGTGGTCTTACCAGACAATGCAAGCCTTTGTGGTACAAGAAAAAGTGGAGAGGCATATTCTCTTCATCTATGTTACGATGTCATCACCAAAGTATACACTTTTATTACCAATGGACTGTATTGTGATTATTTTACCAGAATATAGCTCATGATTGCATAGTGGTGTTCACCTCTGAGCTTGGTTGTTTTCCTTCAGATGTTTTCATTTTTGTTATCAAACTAGGTAACATCCTCAATGCTAGAAGGGAGTGGGGTTTGCTCTCTATTTATTTACAGGGTAAGTGAGGGTGTTGTTTTCTCCTTAGTAGTTCCTTTTTCTTTTGCTGATTGAGTTGGTAGTTCCTTGATTGTTGACTACTTGTTAGGTATTAATCCTATTTTCAGTATGTTATTATTTGTATAAGCATAAGATTAGGGAAATTCATTGAGAGTTAAAATAAAGGTTCTTGATAGAATTATTCTTTCTATTCTATTCAGATCCCTTGTAATGAAGTCATAGAAAAGGGGAGATAAATAAATACCCACTGTAAGTTAAAGATAAATGCAGGTCCAAGCTAAGCAGAATTCCATTTAAGAGCCCTGGTGGTGCGGTGGTTAGAATGCAGTACTGCAGGCTGACTCTGCATTCCCACTGCCAGGAGTTCGATCCTGACAGGCTTAAGGTTGACTCAGCCTTCCACCTTTCCGAGGTCGGTAAAATGAGGACCCGGATTGTTGGGGGCAAATATGCTGACTCTGTAAACTGCTTAGAGAGGGCTGTAAAGCACTGTGAAGCAGTATATAAGTCTAAGTGCTATTAAATTTAATAAAAGGAACATGCCTGAAATTAGTACAATTTATATAACACAGATAGGTCCTTGACTTACAACAGTTCATTTAGTGACTGTTTGAAGTTATAACAGCACTAAAAACATAACTTATGATCATTTTTTCACACTTACGACCATTGTACCATCCCCATGGTCACATGATTTACACTTGGATGCTTGACAACTGATTCATATTTATGATGGTTGCAGTGACCGGAGGGTCATGTGATCATCTTTTGCAACCAATGGGGAAGGCAGATTCACTTTTACAACTGCAATTATTCACTTAAGAAATGTTGCAAGAAAAGTCGTAAAATGGGGCAAAACTCACTTAGCAACATCAATTCTGGGCTCAGTTGTGGTCATAAGCCGAGGACTATTTGTATCCACAAGTAAGTAAGTATAGAGCTGCAACTTTATCTAACCTTCAGTTTCTCATTTTCCTAGTAGAAAGAAAGCTTGGCTAACATTACTTTTTCATTGTTGTTCAACTGGTTGCTTGCTCCAATTTCTGTCTTGTTTTCTGGATGGTGCTAGGAAGTACAAATAAGCAACTGGTAACATTTAGTTCCACATGTTTAGCAGATGGACTGAATTTGTTGAAGCATTGGTGGAACTAGGAAACTCTGCATAGATGCTTTTAACTTTCAAACACAGAGTCTAAAGCCCCCATTTAAAAGCCACTGATTTAGCACTCTTTGCTTTGAGTTTGCTTTGCTTGCATTGCGTAATTTTGTAATATGCTTCTGTTCCCAAATGTGGGCTGGTTTCAGTACTGAGTATTTTGATATGTGAAGACAGCTGGCCATCAGTAAACAAATGGCAAGCAGGAACCCTTTAGGATTATGTGGGCAACTACTTTGAAGAAATTAGAACTTGCCACATGTATTTTTTTCCTTTCATGTATTTGTTTTATGTTCGAAGATTAATTGATTTTATAACTCATCATGTGGCGACAGGGGACCCTGCCTTTAACCTAAGCTATGTCCCAGTTAAGACATCTGTATGGGATTTTTAAAGATAAATTCAGGAGCAAATCTTGGGACTTGATGATAAATAGTAGAAACTGTTTTTTTCTGCTTGGTATGTGTGTTCATTGTCTCAATATCTAGATATAACTGTTTCCCAAAAGCGATTGCAGTTGGAGATCAGAATATATAAAAAAGAGAATTGTATATTTTTTATATTTATAGAACTCTGTGTCTGTCTGCGAAGGCCATGGAGAAGAGTTTGGAAAACAGTTTCAGCATCAGCTTTCTGAATCCATTGGTAATCTTCTTTAGGAAATCTGCCAAGTGTCTGGGCCATCTTCCTCTAATCTATGTATTTGTCTGCCTCAGTGCCCTCTTTCTCTGTACAGGTAAGAGTTTATGCTCCTTTCTGAGACACTTACAATTGTGAATGAATAAGGATTTATCAATCTGTGCAATGTAAACCTATCTAATTTATGTTCTATGAATTGTTATCAATGTAAAGCTTGTGAACACCCATTGCTAAGAGGGACATTGTAGGAGGAAAGCCATGTTAGTCTATTAATAGTCAACAATCAGCAGTATCTGCTAGCATCTTGTTACAGTAAGAAATTTTATTAAATACATACACATATGTTTTTTAAAGTGAGTTGTTGTTCCTGAAAGGTGTTGCCTTTTAATAAATATTGTAAATATGACTGCATCTTGAAATTGTCTCTTGAGATACTTTTAGTTAGACATAGAGCTTCCCACATTATATGATTTTTAGCCAAAGTTTGTTAAGTTGGCACTTTATCCACCTACGCCTTTGGACCATCTGTGTGCTCTGAGTTTTCACACAGTGTTTTTTTCTCCTTTTGAAATACAAAGCTCTAAATGAGCGTGTCTGTTTCTTGTGAGCGTTTGGGCGCACCTCTTCCAATATAAAATCTATGGCAAATGATGCCAATTATATATGTTGTATGTGCTTAATATGTAGTGCTTTTTTATTCCACATACTCTTCTTTCCAATAATATATACATATATACATATATATATTTGTGTGTGTGTGTGTGTGTGTGTGTGTGTGTGTACACACACACACCATAGCACAGCGGTTGTCCTATGTGCCACACAAAACTCTGATGAGGGCTATGGGGATATGTAAGATTGTTTTCGACAGAAATATAAAAGGTAAATACTTAATAGAAAATATTTAACTTTCAGATTAATTCCAGAATCTTAGAAAGATACCACAGACACTTGCTACCCTCTACATTCTCATATAAATGATTTTGATATAACTAAGAGTAAAAGCTTTAAGACACATAGGAAATATTGGGAAATTAGATGAAATATCTAAATAAAAGTTGTTAACAAGTTCTTTTAGTAATGATAAGGACATTGTGCAAAGACTTAACTGTAGTTATTAAGGAGCTACAATGATAAGATTCAGGAATAGAATTAAAATGGCTGAATAGTTGTGTTTCATTCAAGATTCTTGATAAGAACATTCTTATATAATGCCATTGGGTTCAAAAACTCGTCTGTAAGCTGTGAAAGTGGCCCTGAAAATGGGAGCGTGTATCACATGTTGACTTAGCAGGTACTTCTCAGTGGGAGAAAGCTTTCTGTTTAAGCAGTCAGAGAAGACAGATCAATGACTGGGGGGGGGGGAGAGAAGGAGTTTTAGTATCTAACCTTTATTTGCAGGGTAAAAAAAAAAAAAGAGGTATTGCAAAGAGAATTTTGGAGAATAGGTCAATTTTATGGTCTATGGAAAATTGCTAGGACAAGCCCTTCTTTAAATAATACAACAATTTATCTTAATTTTATCTCAACATTTTATCTTTTTCAAAAATATATATTTTTTAAAAATATTATCAACTGAAAAACTAGTATCTTTAAAGAAGGCTCTTTTAAACTGACACTGTTATAGGGTAAAATGTCTCTTTTCCTCCCAACCTCTAATAAATTATCTGGTGTCTTTTTTGACATTTGGTAACTGGTAAAATTGATTAGTTGATATGCAGTAAGTGAGTCATTGATCTTTAGCATTGCATGTACAAAAAACAGTTGATTTTAAAGTCTCTTTGATTTGTTATCTTTATTTTTGGTTGGGATACACAGTAAAAGTAGAAATCACAAATTATTTAGTTTGAATTCTCTTTGTTTCTTTGAGATTAGTTTTCTGTTTCCTAAGTTCCACAAAATTAAGTTTCAGCGCTATCTTTTTTTGGTGTTTTTTAAAATTTTTTACAGCAGTTAACATATTTCAGGAATATTCTAAATCCAGAACTAAGACACAGTTGAGGGAATGAATACCATGTTCTACAATGCTATTGCCTGTTTTTCAAGCATGTTGTTTGTACTAAAGAGTTGTCCTAATTCTTATCTTGTAAATACACTTTTCCTTGTTTTCTTCAATTCTTCCCCTTCCCCTATTAGCACTTAAGCTTTTGTGGGGAAAACGTTGACAACATTATGGCCTTGTTTCATATTTACAAAAAAAAAATAAAAATCCTTACAATGATATTTTTATTCCAGATCACCATGCTCCAAATTTTGTGCACATTTCAAAATATATACCAAAAGTTTTCTGACAAGCTAATCCAGGAAACTTTTATAAAGTTTCATAATTCTTTTTAAATTACTTTACTTTAGAAGGGTTTCTCTAGCAGATTGTACTGGCACAGTCTGTCTCAACCTCTCTCCTTTCAAAATGAATAAATGTATTCTTGCAACAGACAAACTTCTGTTCCTTCCTGGACAACTGGATATTGTCTAGCGCTTAGTGTATTGCATATTAAAAAGTCCTGATTGTTTTCAAATAGGGATGTGATTCTAAATTGTTAACATCAGTATTTTTCCAGGTGGTTCCTCTTGAAATTAAATATACTTATGTGAAGGAGGAATTTATTAATATGCCCAACTGCTTTTCCCTCTCTAAGCTGATTTTATTTTAATCTAGAATTAATATAAGAGTAATAACATAGGGTGAACTATTATCATTATCCCAGTGGTATCCAACTGTAATCTCTGCCCTGGGCTGAGTACAAGTGATGCTATAAAGGTGCTTACCTAGTGTCTGGAGGCTGTGAGGTCTTAGTGGAGATGAAAAGGTTGGGGATTCTAATAAGAGTGATTCCTCTAATTCTTGAGCTCGACAGAGATGGTGCACAATCTGGGGGTCATCCTCGATTCATAACTTCTGCTCAAGGACTAGATCAGTGGTTCTCAACCTTTTTAATGCCGCGATCCCCGACCGGTCGTAAGTCGAGGACTACTCAACCGGTCGTAAGTCGAGGACTAAACCAGTCGTAAATTGAGGACTACCCAACCGATCGTACGTCGAGGACTACCCAACTGGTCGTAAGTCGAGGACTTTCCCTGCCAGGGAGCGCCGCACATGCATGGTGCCACCCCCTGCGCCGGCCGAGGCGTAGCTGGCAAGCGGCAGAGACGGAGCAGGCCAACCACCTCCCACCCCTGGCCCTCTTTTACTTACATTTTTAGTAGTTGCTCAGCAGGGAGGGGTGGAAACTTCCAGATAACTCACCTTCGCTGTAGACAACTTGGAGCACTGTTTGCAGAATGGGACTTTTGGCGGGCTCAGCAGGGCAGAGACAGCCTGGATAATTCCTATTGGCTTTTGAAAGCCAATAGAATTAGACTCTATTCAAGAGAGTCTATTCTATTGGCTTTCAAAAGCCAATAGAATAAAAGGGAGTAGCACAGCTAAGGAAAAGGGGGGAAAAAATGGCGGACTGCGTTGTTTGGTGACCCCCGTGAAATGGTCATTCGACCTCAAATGGGGTCGCGACCCACAGGTTGAGAACCGCTGGACTAGATGGCAACATAGGGACTTTGCATTGACCCATCTTGTGTATCAATTGTGCCCGTTCCTGGATTAGGAGGCTCTGCTCACAGTCACTCATGCCACAGTCAATTCCCATCTGGATGATTGCAATGTCCTCTGCCCTTGAAGACTATTCAGAAGCTTCAAATGGTTTAGAATGTAGCAGTGTGCAGAGTTTTAGATGCAATAAAGTTTGACTATGTAACACCTTTGATTTGTGTGCTGCGCTGGCTCCAGTAAGCTTACAGGTACACTTCAAGATGCTGGTTGTCCCCTTTAAAGCCCTATGTGGCATAAGGCCAAGATACTTGCAGGACTGCTTATTGCAATTGTTTCTGCCCATCTCATCAGATTTGGCAAGGTTGGTGTGGTCTGGGTCCTTTGAGAAGAACCGTGCCATCTCGCAGGACCCAGGAGATACGTTTTTTCTGTGCAGTGCCTGTTCTCCCAGAGATCTGAATGGCTTCAATCCTGTTGGTCTTCTGGAAGGCTGTAAAACTCTGGCTTTTCCTGGAGGCATTAAGCTGGGTTTTTAACTAATCCCAGTAGAGGTGCATATCATAATTATAATTGAAAATGAGTAAGAAGCCTCTGATAGGTAGTATACATTTGTGTGCAGGTTGTGCATTCATACTGGCAGATGAGGCTCTTGAAACCTGGCCTCATATCTTATGTAGACCTCAGTGCTTAAAAGATTCCTCAGTATCTCTCCTTTAAGGGCTGTGTTAAAGCTGTCATGTAATCTGTAAAGATTGTGTGATGTGACTCTTTAATAGACAAGCTTACTTCCTGCTTGGTGATTATTCAGGAAGGCTAACATGCTATTATGTGATCACAGCATATTAAAGCAAGCAAAACAGCTTTAGTTTGAGAAGCTTCTAAAGCATATTGAGAGTTTATATAAGAAATTAAATACTTCAAGCATAATGCTTGAAAATCAGTCACTTCACTGGTAGGGTAATAAGATATAGTTGAACATTAATTCACAGAGTCCTTTACACCAGTCATCCCATCCTGATGATCTCATCTATGTAGACTTCAACTGTATAAATTGTTAACTTTGCTTCTGGTGCTTATTAAGCACCTTTTTCAGGGAAGTTTGCCAAGACCAGAGAAACTTTCAGAAATGTGTTTTATAATATGGCTTTATTATTTGTAGCTTAGTATGTTGCTTCAGCCAAAACAAAACAGAAAAAAAAATACTCTGATGTGGCCAAATAGTTAAAAAGTTAAGATGTTGGAATAGAGGCAGAGAAACTCAGGTTGAAGTCCAGCTTTAGGTACAAAAGCCAACTGGGTGATCTTGGGCCAGCCATTTTCTCTCATCCCTAATCAGCATCAATTCTGGAACAAGCCCGGTGAAAAACAAGCCCCTTGTTGCTTCATGCATTGATAAATTTCAATGCAAGAGCACAGTGCAAAACAAACTGGAATTTAGTGAGACAAATGCTAGCATAAGCACAACAGATAATGGCCACAAACCGAAAACTTTTAAAATTAAGCATTTTAAATATGAGGCAGCTGGCAAGAAAATATAATTAGGAATATTT